GTAATATGTTTCCATAGCAGGGTAAGAGTGGACTTGATTTTTCCCCCTTATCCATTTTTGCGTGGATATTTCCTTATCAAATTTATAAAATTCTTAGGAAATCTTGATCTGTCCTTTATCCTTCTTGACACTAGTTCTGTAGTGTAGAGAATCAAGCATCATTGCAATTGCTTATGTTACACTCATTGCCTCTTACATACTAGAGACTTAACCTTGTGATTTCAGTTTAGGTTCCTTTTTTCTAACAGTTTTGCTTACTATTATACGTTTTATTAGTCTGGTGTTTTTGCATCACACTTATTAAAGTGGTCAGTTATTGATATTTTAATGTGGGTATATACATGAGCCTGCACTATTGTAATAAAATAACAAATTTTGTCATTATATAATGTAATATATATTCACAGAAGGAACTTTAGTAAAATGATGAAAGATGAATGCTTACCTTCTAACAAATACATTAGATATTTTTGTAAATTTGCTTAATATAAACAACTTATCCAAAAAAGAAATTCTTTGTCCATTTCTTGAATTAAATCCCAGATTTCTCCTATGAGCTCAAGTACATACTATTCTATTCTCTCTACAGTACAGAGGATACATATCTTATTTTCACTTATTTAAAATATGTTGACCTGTGGGAGTTGAAAACTTTGTATTTGACGGTTCCAGTTAAATACTAATTGCAAGCTGAAGAATTTGCTACTATTAAATTGAAAAGTTCGGCAATAAAACTAACATAATTTTCTTTCCAATGAGAAATCAAATTGAGGAAATGCTGATAGCTCTTTAAAGTAAAATTTTATTTTCGTGATTAATATTTTTCCCAACCATCCAAAACAGTGATGACCTTTAATCAGAGAAAAACTGATTACACTACAACTGCAATCAGATAATACAGATTATAATATGCACGTGAATTAATGGTGCTTTGGGTCAGTCTTCTACGGTAATCAATTGATTCAATAATAGGTATAGAATATTATAAAGTTTTGTGTGTTACACATATATTTTAATACACCTATTGCTAGACTTCAAATGTGAAATATACCCAATTACTTCTCCATATGATACTATGATTCCTAAAGATTCTGTGGGAAAACAGCACAAATCCCTTTTGCAAAAGAAGTCAGAGGACCAGGCCTCCATTCATGCTGGGGAAATATATTCCTCCCACAGAAAGGAACAGCTAGTATTCACACACACGCACGCACACACACACACACACACAAACACACACATTCACATACAGTATAACACAGGCCACTCACTTGGTCACAAACTGTGTTTTTACCTTCATCACTTGAAACTTTTTACCCCCTCACCAAGGTACCTAAGCAACATTCCAAACAAGCATTAGCCTCAAAGTTCAAGAACTCAGGAGATCTCTGGAGTGCCCACAAATATTTAAAAATGTAGTTACTTACAGAAAGAATCAACAAGCTAAATATTTTCCTTCAAATAAATTTTGAATGCATCAAAAAAAATTCATGATTATTTCCACACTGGATCACCATATATATGTCTGTTCTGGCTCTAGAGAATCTATGTACTAAAAAAGCAAGTACACCCCACCACACACACACATGCTTGTCCAATATACTACAGTAAAAGTAGGACAGAAAATTTTCTATAAATGCTTCCACATAGAAAGTGAAAATAGAAAACATTTATGGAATCTACTTGGTAGATGCTGCAAAGGCACCTATACTGCCATGGGGAATGTTCCTGGATCTGGCCTGGGTTCTGCTCCCTCAAAATAGCTGCCTGGTCTATGCTTACTATGGTCCTCAGCTCTGCTCTCTAGATGGTCCTGCTAGTTTTATTAGATACTGTGGCCATATCTTAATTTGCCATTGGAGGACATTCTCTCACGGGGAGTTGAGAGCATGCTCAGCTGGCTTCATTCCCATGAAAGTTTGGAAGAAAACAAATGGTTATGTTAATCTTGAGAACGTTAGTCTCTTTTAGCCCAGACTAGAAGCTCACTTACCAGTATAACATTCATTACTAATCTTTTATTTTCTATTTGATTCCAATACATTTCATAGGTCAATATTCACATCAGTAATCCTTTTAGAAACATTTCTCTATCTTTGAGCTACTTACAGTTACCTTGAATTATGAGATGTTCTGGCAGAGTCACAATCTTATTCTCTTTTCCCTCCACTATTTTGTTCAGCTTAAATAATTCACAGGAAACTAAGAGCTTTAGCGTTAGGTTTGATGGAAACAATTTTGTTTGGGTCTTTGTCATAAAACTCAATTTTAATAGACATTTGTTCTTTAAAATCATCCTAAGTTCTACATTTTACCTTTTGGAAATGGAAATCATGTGTCTTATAACTCTGGAAGTCACAGAATGATTTAAATTTCTATATTACCTTATATACCTCTTTGAAAACTGGACAATTGTTTTCTGGGTTCACTTTTTTTTAAAGCATTTTCCAAATGTATCAATAGCAAATAAGTAACAGTAGTTCACATATTTTCTCCTAAAAATCACAAGCTCACTCTGTACATTACCGGCTTTCCAATGTATTATAGGAAACTAATGTATCAAATGTTTCATCACTTCATAGATTCCATAATTTCAGACTTCAATATATTTTCTCACCACCTACTACTTTTTATTTTATGAAAGTATTTCTTTTTTAATTAGTATAAATGTATGAGGTGCAAGTGCAATATTGTTACACGGATATATTGCACAGCGGTGAGATCAGGATTTTCAGTATATCCATCATGGCAATAGTGGACATGTTACCCTTCAAGTAGTTTCTTATCATCTGTTGTCTGTCATTCCATTCTCTGCCTCCATATGTACACACTATTTATCTCCACCTTGTAAGTGAGAATTTGTGGTATTTGTCTTTCTGTGTCTGAGTGCTTTCAGTTAAAATAATGGCCTCTAGTTTCATCTGTGATGTTGAAAGACATTATTTCATTCTTGTTCATAGCTCAATAGTATATATCATATTTTCAATCCACTCCTCCACTGATGGGCCCAATCCATTGAGGTTGATTCTATATAGCTGCTATTATAACTAGTGTTGTAATAAACATACAAGTGCAGGTATCTTTTTGATATATGTTTTTTTCCTTTGGGCAAATATCCAGGAGTAGGATTGCTGGATAAAATGGTGGTTCTATTTTCGGTTCTTTGAAAAATCTGCATAGCGTTTTCATTAGAGGTTGTTCTGGTATTAGAGCAAAGTCGTCTATTTTAAGATTAGTTTTTCTTTTATTATTTTAATGACCATACCAGTCAGCTTCAACTAAGTATTTGTTTTGTTTTGTTTTTTTGCAGCAACAAACAATTCCAAATCCCAATGGCTTCCACCATCAAACATTACTTTCTACCCATATAGATTCCATTTTCGGTCAGCAAAGCCTTAGCTTTATGTCCTCGTAACTTCAGGATCACTGATAGAACAATGCATATTTTGGACATGGTGGCCTCAGGACATGAGACATGAGAGAAAAGATGTATTAAATTAAAGAAACAGCAGAGAGTTGGCTCTCAAAGCTTCTGAAGACACTGGCATGTGCAGCTCCTTCTCATAAAGCACAGGTAAAGCAAATATCACATGATCAAGCCTGACATTGACGATGTGGGAAATTCAATCCTACATGGAGGAACAAATAATGTTATCCTCCTTAAGAGCACGGCTCATTATTTAAATTGCACAATTACACTGTGAATCAGATCTTTGGGGACTAGCACTTAATTAGTCCATGAACCTCAGAAGAAATTATTTCCTTGCCAATAATTTAGTCCCAGGTGATCTCTTAAAGCTTATATTGACAAAAATGTTTATACACCACTATCACCACCACCCCACCCCCTACAACAAATACTTGCCTGTTTAAATTATTCACAAAATAATGGCTACAATATAATAAAAAACCTAAAATCACGTTCTTGAACCTTCCTACTGTATTCCCCTTCCAACTTACTCTTCCACCATCCAGCCCCACCACACGTGAATATCACTACAAGTACATATATATATATATATTCCTAAAAAGAGACATTGCAAGGATGAAATGCCTGCCAGGAGTCACTAGCAAGCACAGTGTGTGAGCCTCATTTGTGGAATGATTGATTTTGTTTTCATGTGATGTTATTACAGAAGGAAATCCAGTTTGCTTGATTGAAATTGTTTTATTAAAAACAAATTCTCAAAATCGGGAGTATGCTTGATTATTAAATTACTCTATGGAAAATAATTCAGCTGTTTATTTATTTTTTATTTCCAGCTGTTTTACATTATATAACAATAGTCTTTTTAACCAGGGAATTATTGGCTTTTGCCTGAATAATTGTCCAACAGGACCAGAGACAGTGACTGGAGCACCATCTGAAAGAATGCTACTGAGGGTGACAGTCCCGCAATCATAGTGACATTTGAGACTGTGTTTCTTTTTTAAAAAAAAATAAAAATCTTTGTTGTTTGTAATTGCAGCTGAAATCACCTCCACAGTTATAACTGTGTGCTGTTAAGATATTACACCGAGATATCTATCTTCCAGGAACTTCCAAAATATTCCATTAACCATTATTGAGTTGACCTAACACAACAAAATGAAGTGCCTTCATTCTTTTGAACACTAAACACTGAAAATAATATATATCATAATCAATAATAACATATATCATACTTTTTCGATATAGATGCTTAAATTTTAAAACACCCAAGCTTTAATGATACTGCACCTATATTTAAACACACAAACACACACACACACACACACACACCCACACAGGGTCACATTGAAGCACTAGTAAATAATATGCAATTAGCACCACAAACATGTGCACACTATCTGTGTAATCTTATTTCTTTCCTTACTGTTTTTAAATTTATTTTAGTCATTAAAATATGAAGATTCATATTCCCATTAATGCCATATGTCAACAAGGGAGACAATCATTTTATGTGCTCTGAAAAGCTGTATAGAAGCTTCCCAGTACGTGTTCACTAATAAAGTAGTACCTCATCTTCTTTTTGGTTGAGTCCCTGCTTTAGTTCTTCCACTCGTAATCTTAGTCTCTTTACTTCTGCCTCGTTTTGATCCACTCGGTTGTTGGCATGAGTCAGTTCTGCAATCTTTGCCTGGTATTGTCTGCTTAGTTTATAGTAGGCATGTTGAAGGTTCAACAATTCCTTTCAAAGAAAAACAAAAATTACATTATTTATAGTCTACTCTGATAAAAATCAGAAGAACGGCAACTTCTTTTGACAAAAGAGAAGAACATTTTAGGAAGAAATTAGATGAGCCATCATCTGCGTTTGGAATTCTACATTTCTGTAATCAAATATTACAATTATGATATGACTATAAATGGAGGATTTTACTAAAATACAATACACTCTTTATGTTGTTTCGTAAATGATCTATTTTGCACCTTATACAAAAGTAGTTTTTATATAACCTTTCCCCAAAAGGAAATCATATAGCCAGAAGTAAAGAATAAAATAATATAAATGCAAAAGAGCTGTTTATCCTGTTTATCTACTAACTTGGCAGATGCTAAAAGGTAGCGCACTATATGATTTAATTACTTTCTGAAGGAAATAGGTTTTGTGAGGCTGTAGTCACGTTGTTACCTGCAGCCCCTTCTGAAACCACATGCATCAGGCTCAGAAACTTGCAGTAAGGACCCATCATGGATAAGAAATATATTAATCTATCATAAAGTGATTAGACTACAAATCAATCTTGTTATAGTTAACACCATATACTATATAAATTAACAGGTTATAGTAATTATCCTCAGATTATTTATATTATTTCTCATTTTTGGTTAAAATTTACAGTGTAAAATTAATAGTACCATCATATAGAAAACATCTTTATTAAAACTATAAAGAAAAGGGTAACCCCTGGCTCCTTCTAATGTTATAATACTGTAGGAAACCCCAAGGATATTTCTTTGATTTGCTAAAATGTACTGTCATATTACTTTATATACAAAAGTCACAAAAAGGCAAACGTTAAAAATGCATAGGTAATTATCTTAGGACATCTAGGTAGAAATCAAAAGTGGATTTTTCTCACATCTCAAGCCATTAGTAACAATAATGAAGAATTAGAGATCCAAAAGTAAAAAATAACTATAAAATATTGAAAAATATTGGAAAAAATGTGGATGTGGTGCTTTTCTTTTAATCATCGAGTAGGGGAAGTCTTCCTAAGTATGATCCCAAATTGTGAGATCACAAAATGATAAATTCAATCATAATAAGTATATCATTTGCATGTAACAAATAAAACATATTCAGCTTCTCTCAAATTCGGGGGGCATCTATTCCAATTTATGTAACATTTTTGACCTATAAAATTATAGATATTATAGAAAATTATAGTGACTGCCAGAGTTAAGGACAAGGCAGGAGGGGGGTAAGGTTGACGTGAGGGTAGCTATAAAGGGAACCTCGTGGTGAGAATGTTGTCTGTTTTGACTGTGTAGACGTCAGTATCCTAGCTGTGCTATCATATATACTTTTTCAGGATAATACCATTGGAAGAAACTATGTAAGGGACCTCCAGATCTCTCTGCATTATTTTATATAACTGCATATGAATCTGTATCAAAAATTAAAAACTTAATTAAAAAATAAAGATATTACTTATCATGTCTTCAGACTGGCAAAGGATAAGTGTGGTAAGATAATATGCCAGTAAAATCAGAGAAATATGGATTCATTCATGGAAAAAACTGGTATTCTTTTTTTAATTTTCATTTTACTTTAGGTTCTGGGGTACAATGTGCAGGTCATGTAGGGTCGTTGCCTAGGTGCATACATAACCAGGTGGTTTGCTGCCTCAATTTCCCCTTCATCTATATCTGGCATTTCTCCCCATGTTATCCCTCCCCGCCCTCCCCCTGCTGTTGTCCCTCCCCTATCCCCCCGACTACCCTCAGTGTGTGATGGTCCTCTCCCTGAGTCCATGTGTTCTCATTGTTCAGCACCTGCCTATTAGCGAGAACATGTAGTGTTTGGTTTTCTGTTCCTGTGTCAGTTTGCTGAGAATGATGGTTTCCAGATTCATCCAAGTTCCTACAAAGGATGCGAACTCATCGTTTTTTATGGCTGCATAGTAGTCCATGGTGTATATATGCCATATTTTGTTTGTCCAGTCTATTGTCAATGGGCATTTGGGTTGGTTCCAGGTCTTTGTTGTTGTACACAGGACTGCAATGAATATATGTGTGCATGTGCCTTTATAACAGAATGATTTATAGTCCTTTGGGTATATACCCAGTAATGGTATTGCTGGGTCAAATGGAATTTCTATTTCTAGATCCTTGAGAAATTGCCACACTGTCTTCCACAATAGTTGAACTAATTTACACTCCCACCAACAGTGTAAGAGTGCTCCTATTTCTCCACTTTCTCTCCAGCATCTGTTGTCTCCTGATTTTTAAATGATTGCCATTTTAACTGGTGTGAGATGATATCTCAGTGTGGTTTGGATTTGCATTTCTCTAATGACCAGTGATGATGAACATTTTTTCATATGTTTGTTGGCCTCATATGTGTCTTCTTTTAAAAAGTGTCTGTTCATATCCTTCGCCCACTTTTGAATGGGTTTGTTTGTTTTTTTTTTCTTGTATATCTGTTTTAGTTCTTTGTAGATTCTGGATATTAGCCCTTTGTCAGAGGGGTAGATTATGTGTTTTGTTTTGTTTTTTCTTTGAGACGGAGTTTCGCTCTTGTTACCCAGGCTGAAGTGCAATGGCACAATCTCGGCTCACTGCAACCTCCGCCTCCTGGGTTCAGGCAATTCTCCTGCCTCAGCCTCCCGAGTAGCTGGGATTACAGGCATGCACCACCATGCCCAGCTAATTTTCTGTATTTTCAGTAGAGACGGGGTTTCACCATGTTGACCAGGATGATCTCGATCTCTCGACCTCGTGATCCACCCGTCTCGGCCTCCCAAAGTGCTGGGATTACAGGCTTGAGCCACCGTGCCTGGCCAGATTATGTTTTTTTAAATTAAAAATGCACATAAAGCCAGACCCAGACATTCTATTTCCAAGAATGTATTCCGCAGATACAAGCATAGTTGTGTGAAATGTGATTTTGAGAATATTTATTGCAGCATTGTTTTGTTGTTTACAATGAATATTGGAAACTAAATATCTGTGAAATGGGCATAATTAAATTTAAGAAAAAACATGAAATATATAATATGGCAACCTTTTATATATTGATATAGAGAGATCTCCAAAATGTTAAAGGAAAATGTAAAACTGTGTGAAGTGTATGGTATTCGAAGAAAAAAGCTGATAGAAAGCAACTTTTGATCTGACACAATTGATAAGTCACAGGCTCTTGGCCTCTGTGAATTCCAGCATTCCAAAGTCCCAAAGAGGTGGGGTGAGGGTGTGGGTGCAAGGCAGGACACAGCAGAGAAAATGCTGCTCCTCACTCTTAGGAAGCCATGAGTTGGAATGGAAGATGTGGCCTCCCCAGTGCCTACCAACTATTGCCTGTCCCAAGAATGTCCACCTTCTAGTATCCACTGAAAACATGAGGGTCAAATGAAGAAGAGATTTTTAGTTTCTGTCCTGCAAATCCTGCCCATTCCTTCCATGGGAGTCGAAATCACAGCCATGATATTTAAACCAGAATAATGCCAACAGCCAGCTGGAGACAGACAGATTTGGATTGGGCAGCTAGACAGGGCATCCAAACTGCCTGTCTGAATAAGCTTTCCCTGTCACTTCAATAGCTTCACAGTAACACTGTCATTTATGCACCATCACTGAGTTTTACTGAATTATGCCACACATCACATTTAAAATGCAAACAGATTTCTCATTTCTTCTCTTCAGAATACAATTTTCAAATGTCAAGTTCTATACATTATTCTTTTACAAAGAAACATGTAATAGGGAGCACAATTCTATTATTTGAAACAACAATGGAACATTTTAAAAAAGATCTTTCTTCTTCTGTCAGACATAAAGTAAAGAATTTGCTGCACAAATAATCCAGAGCTTAATGGAAAAGTTATAACTTTGTAAGACGACGGCTTTCTCTCTGAAATTATGCAACTTGTTGCAGTTACTTACATACTTTTATGCTTTAGCAAAATTATTTCTTATACCATTAATGCTTTGTCATTAGGTTTGTAAAATTTACTTAGAATGATTTAAAAGGAGTAAACAGCCTTCAGTGTTCATACAAGAAAAAAGAAAAGAGGAAGAAATGAGCAAACAACTGAATGAAGGAAAGAAGGAAAAGCATCTTTGTTTGTCAACACGCATTCCACCCCAGTCATATGCCATTTGTATAAGCAGAGCCCTGGCTCTCATGTTCTACTGCTTGGCCATTTGCTCAGAGAATGTCAACTTATTCTCAGGTCTAGGAGATACGTATGTATTTGTCAAAGTATGTTTTCAATAAGTCCTACCCAAGGCAGCAGCAACAGCATTACTTGGGAACTTCATTCAAGACCTACTGAATCTCAAACTCAGAGCTCAAGCCCGGAAGTTATGGGCTTAACAAGTCCTTGAGGTATTTCTGATTCACCATAGTTTGAGAACAATTAGTGTAAGTCAATTCTAGTAAGCTCTTCTCTTGCCAGTGACTATATTAGAAAGGTGGGCAATGAGAAAAGAGAAAAAAGTATCCTTGGGTGGGAAATAATTCTTTAGAAATGTTTATTACTTTAAAATAACAAGGAATAGCCGGGCACAGTGGTGCATGCCTGTAATCCCAGCTACTTGGAAAGCTGAGGCAGGAGAATTGTTTGAACCTGGGAGGCTGAGGTTGCAGTGATTCAAGATTGTGTCACTGCACTCAAGACTGGGAGACAGACTGAGACTCTGTCTCAAAAAAAAAAAAAAAAAAAAAAAACAATATGCAAGGAAGAGCCATGCCTTGAGTTACTACAGCAATCTGAGACTTTGGGGGAGTCCTACTTTCACCTGTTCACCTGAGGTTGGCAGACCTGGTTTACTCTTGGTAGTATTTGTTATGTGAGAAAATATATCTAATTTTATCTAGAGCCAAACTCATAGCTTAACATAGTCTAATTGTGTTTGTTTATAGAGTGCCTTTTAATAAAGATAAGAACTGGATTTCACTTTAAGGAGAAAAAACACACTCCTTCCTTAAGACAAATTTTTTTTTTAAAAAACAGTCTAAAT